TATCGCCTTGTAGGACATACCAGCGGAATTCATGTCAATAATTTGCCATCTCTTAAAATGATTTTGCATTCAAAAATTCGGGACTTAAATACGGATTTGATGCACGAGAAAATAGTGCATATTGGACGTGAAGAAGGGAGCAAGTTGCACGTGGGGAAAAAAACGCGCCTGATTTAAATGTCACACCTGAATGCTCACATCCTTTTAATTATGTTTGAAATTATGAACATTGCTCAACATCATGAAAATTAAACCTTATTTTCAATAAGCAATCCTGAAAAATATTTGGGGGTGCTTAACTTTTTTCCAGGTGTATATATGCATCAGTTGTTGAGTTTCGTATTCAGTTTTATGTTTGAATTTAAATGTTACAGCTTTTAACTTATTTTTTTAGATCTGATTAGTGATCCTAATGTGTTTTTAATCTTAATGCTTAAAATGATGTTTGTTGTTGAGAATTTCTACAATTTATTGTGGCAGTATTTTTATTGTTTTAGTATATTTTGATCTATCATCTCCTTTGGTGAATGAAAATGACACTTTTTTTGTCCAAAAAACTAAAATTTGACAAGATTTGTTTATTAAGTCCACTCAGTCTCCAGTTATAAAATGAGAGTCTCTTAAGCATATTTGACTGAAAGTTCCCCTGATTTCTAAGTATTTTTAGCTATTTTTATCATCTTTAAGAACTATAAAAATATATAGAAATCTGTACATTTAAATCAGGGGGACTGAGTTGGCTTTGTGATAGAACTGGATTTTGGAGCTGGCAAGCCAGGCTTGAATCCATATAACCACTATAAATATTCCCACACTTTAAGCTGCAAGTACATTATAAGAGTGACAATAAATCCCTTAACAAGGATGATAGGTAGCAGAGTACTGCAGAGTGACTGCCTTCCCTCTGGTTAGTATTTCAAAATTAGGAACTGTGGCAAATAGACTTAGTAACTTTGCCATCAATACAAAATACAAATTTAAATTGGCAGACTTGCCCGTGAAATACTAATCTTTTGTTTTTCTGGTTACCTCTGGAACCAGAATCTCGCATCAAACGTTTAGTACTTTTGACAGTTTAACATGCTTGTACCTTAAATGTTGTATGTGATACTGTTAGATAAGAAACATTGTACAGAAATAAATCTATTATCCCACAAATAACTATTTCAGAATTTATTGTTTTTCAAGAGTTTTTACCCTTGCTAAACCTCTACTGTGTTTAAGTATTAGGCCATCAAGAAATTAATGTTGCATTTTGGAGCACTTTCATTAATCATCCCCCAAAAACGTACATCTTGTATAATAGTTAAACAACTGCCTAAACGTCACGTTAGTGTAGCCTATGTAATGTGTAAAGTTTAGTATACTCTAATCCCTTATAATGATGGCACAAGATGAGACACACATTCGGCATGTAATGCTGTTTGAATACAAACAGGGAATCAATGCCTCTGTAGCCACATAGAATATGAAAGAAGTTCATGGAAATGTTTTGAATGTTTATAAGTGTCAACGATGGTTCAGCAAATTTCGTTCGGGTGACTTTAGCCTTAAAAATTGTAATGGCAGGGGCGGACATGTTGGAATTGATATTGATGCTCTGAAGACTAACCCAAGGCAACACACTCATGAAATGACCCTGAAATTGCATGTCTCTCATGACACAGTACGTAAACATCTAATGAATGTGGGAAAACTCCATAAAGAAGGTGTTTGGGTGCCTCACGAACTCTCCGATGATCATTGTTTCCAATGTGTGAATGTTGCTTCGTCTCTTCTGGCACATAATGCGCGTGAACCATTTTTTTTACAGTATTGTTACCAGTGATGAAAAATGGATTTTCTTTGTGAATATTAAACACTGAAAACAATAACTAAGTCCTAGACAAAAATCACTTCTGACCCAAAAACGTGGACTCCATCCACAGAAAGTGATGCTTTGCATTTGGTGGGACATCAAAGGAGTAATTCATTTCGAACTCCTCAATCCACAGCGAACTGTTCTTCTTCTCCACGACAATGCGTGCCTACATGTGGCACGTTTGACACAACACAAGATTATGGAGTTGGGTTGGGAAGTTCTCCCCGCCCTCCATATTTTCCAGATATGGCACCATCAGATTACCATCTTTTTTGTTTGCTGCAACACCATCTTAATGGAAAAACGTATGCAAATATGGAAGGTGTTAAAGAGGACATCTACATGTTTTTTACTTCAAAGCCAAGTGATTTCTATAACCAGGGCATTAACAACCTGACTGTAAAATGGAAAAGCATTATCGATAAGAATGGAGACTATTTCATTTAATAAATGTTTTGTTTTGATATATATATAAGTTGTACGGGTTTTTTTCATCTAAAAAAAAGCGACATTAATTTCTTGATGACCTAATATTTACACACACAATTCTTCAGTGGTTGTTTATATCAATGATCAGGGAGAATGTTAATCTCACAGAGTTTGTTTTCTGTGGTTCCATTTATGTACAAAGTGTTATGAATATTCTTGTGGATTCTCTTTCCCTAAAATTATTATTATTGGGGCTTTTGCAATGGTGGGCCAGAATTTGTTTTCCTCTAAGCCTACTCTCCTTTTTGTCTTTCATGTTAAATATTGGCCGGCTAAGTCATTATTTCCTCCTGGTTTATCTCAAGGAATCTCATTTCATTACCTCTTTGTAGATATATTCTCTGCTGCCAGCCTCAAACATCAATCTTCCACACTGATATTTGTCATCTACATCTGTCACACAATCCTTTATTAGAGAAATTGGATTCTCTTCTCGAGTAGATCAGTTGTTAACACATTCTTGCTAATGTCCATGCCTGGCCACCTAACAGTCTTATTGGGGTATCTTCACGAGTTGTTGCTTTATAAATGATGTTACTTGTCTTTCTCAATTCCTTAACAGATTGCCTCTTTCTTCATGTTCTTATTTAATGATTGTGTTTTATGTGCTTCTTTTATGGCAGGTTACAGAGGTGCCCTTTCTGCTACAAAAGCCATCTCTCTCTTCTTCATTATCTACTGATCTTTTAGTAGCTTCTTGCTTACTTTGTCTCTGAGGCCCTAGGCATTGTCCCCAGTAAGATATAGGTCTTATCGTATGATTATCTTCCTTATGAACATTTAGCAACTTGTTCACTCTACCATCTTTCATTGAAGACATATTTTCTTCTATTACTTACTTCGGGTGGAAGACCTTACATTTATGCTCTTTGATGTTTCTCATACTCAAGACCAGGCTGCAAGAGAACATCACCACTGTTTTTCACCAGTTTTGTTACCTACCCTGACTAACCCAGATTCTTGTTCCAAAGAATGTATGTCCTGTTAGGGTTGTTCATTACTATATCGCATAAATGAGATCTTTCAGAAGGGCTCAAAAAGGAAGGGTTGTTTATGCCTTGCAACAAAGCTCATTCTACAGATCTTACTCCATCCATGCTGCAGAAACTGTTTTGTGCATCTAATCCCTCTTGTATATCAAGATGTACCCAAATACCTCAAAAGCGGATTCTGGGTTACATTTCATCAATTTTTGCCACTTGGCAATGTCTTTGGCTTCCCTGTTTTGGTAACCACCAGAAGACATCTTACAGGCCAGGATGTGGAGGAATCCAAATACGTTTCTAAAGTGCTGTTTATCACATTACTGTCTCTTCAGACTCTGGATTTTGTTTGTCACTTATGTCACTTTAAGTCGTATAGAATCTACAGCAGGCAAGTTATTCTGTATTACCTGCTTATTTACCACTTGTGCCTATACCTATGTTGTATATGGCAAATGTGGTAATTCCATACTGCCCAACACTCCTGTTAACCATTACACTGATGTCTATGTTTGAGAAGTCATATGATTCAACAAAAAAAAGAAACTAGTCTCTCTTTTCTTAAGAGATTCTATGTTTATACAGTTTATAACAATCAGAACATCCATAAGCTTCTGGTTACCCCTGCATTTGTTCATGTCACATATGAATATTGTGCATTCTTTCTCTCTCTTAAGGGATTCTTTGTTTATACAGATTCATCCACTATTTAAACCTCTGCATTTGACCTAGATTTAATTTCCCCCCTCTTGCTGGTGATCCCTGAGAGAGTGACACACTACACAATTGGACAGAGGATGCCATATGGTGGCTCATGATTCCTCAGTGGGCACCTTTCCAACCTCTACATGTACATTCTCGCATAGCATTACATATTTAAGATGGGACACTCATTTTGAATAGACATTTCATAACTCCAAGCAGTCACTTTTGGACTTATGATACAAAAGCCATCCCATTTTCTCTCTTTTCTTTACTTGCAAGTAAAGTAAACTTGTAGGCAGAACTTATACTTGAAATCAGTCAAGTAAGTTCTGCCTAAAAGTTATTTTTGTAGAATCCAAGCTGGATGGAGAACGTCTACACTTTTGTTTTTACTTTCTTTAGTGGATAAAGGGGGCTAAGGCCACAGGAGTGTGTCCACAGATAATGCTTGACTGATCTTCTCCCAAAGAACCACTACAGGAGTAGGACATAGTACTCCTTCCACCTGTATACATCACCACCACATGTGCTCCATTCATTTGGCTCCCAGTTAAGCACATTACCACCCTAAGAATGGGAAGAACACTTTCATTCTGATTGTCCTAAGGAAATTTTTTTTCTACATAAGACTGTTCCACTCCACTCATTTTCTTATGAATCCAGTTTTTCCAATAGTTCTATTTATGGTTTTTATTCCAACTCTGCTTGGCCTCTCCTTTAGTGCAGTCTAGGTTACCACATTCCTGCATTGTAACCTATATATTTTTCATATAATCTTAACTCTCCCTGGTTTCCACTTCCTTTTCAATGTGGGATTTTGCACTATTAGTATTTCAGAGATAACTCTACCTGATTTAAATTTTACATTCTGAATTATGGCGAGAAAACAGAGCTCATCTAACTCGTATGCAGTAAGTCACATGGTAGTCGAAAAGAGTGGAGAATTCTGGGTGAGTTGAATCGTGCTCTGCATTGCATCAAGGACATTCAGAACTTCTGTCACATGGTTATAGAAAGCAAGAAACTCAATCAGAAAAAGCTATCAGTACTTCAGAGTTAAATGCAAATTGGAAATTCATTTTAATCCTAAAAATGTAAAATTTAGGTTCACCTAGATTCCATTTCTGTAAAGTAAATATTTGATGAATATTTGACCCCTAACTCCCCTAGTAATCATGCATGTAATTGTACACTTATTTGGACTTGTAGCTTTTTCTGTAAATTAGTTATATTAAACTTTCTGCCTTTTAGTGACAAAGAAGCAGGTCAAACTATATATTGTTTTTGTTACAAGCCAATGTGCTATGACCAATGGAAACCAAAATCCATGGTTTTTACTGCATGTTTGTATTGCCATTTAAAATTGCATAAATAATAAAAATATATGATACATGGTCAGCTAATTTCTCATATATATTTACAAGTTTATTGAGTTGTTATAATTCACCTCTATCATTTTCCAACACTAAACAATATTTCACTTCATGAAATTTTCTAAAGATCTGAAAACTAAAGATATTAAAATGTGTATATCACTCATAAAAAAATAAAAAATAATAGTTTAAGCAGTGTGTACATAAAATGCACTTGCATATATATATTACTGAATTTTGAGTATAAAAATGTTATTTATTTTCAACCTGGCATGAGACCTTTCAAATGCACAATTGCGTATTACATTTCAGTAAAAATTATAATTCTAACTATTTCAAGTTTTAAATTGAAAATTATTTTAGAATTGATATTTTGCACTTTGCAAGTTTATTTAGTGTAATTTGCAAAGAACAATTTAAAAAGTGCTCAAACTTGCATCTTTGCACAGCTCTGAAGAGTCTCACCTGTAAACATTGTACTTGGATTTTTCTGCCCATTCCAAAACAAAGGTTTCTTACATGCTAAGAAACTGTCATCCCTTGAGAAAATATTTACCCATGTCTTGTTTCTCTTTAATACTAATACTACCCTCCCCATTTTCTGATGTCTGTACAATCACAAATGAAGCACAGCTTTGAAAATACTTATATGCTAAGTTTAAATACCATTGAATTGAACATATTATGAACCATTTATGTCAAACTAGAGTAAATAAATTGGTGGAAGCAGTAATTTATTATTTTGTGGGAAAGTGAGTACATGGAGCTCTTGCAGAGTCAAACAAATGAATCTCATGGGAGGTTCAACAGACTTAGGAATAATTCTGAGAATTTCCTGAAAATTTTTTGAGTTGAACTATATATGTTTGAAAGCTATGAACTTTTTTTTTTTAACTAAACATTAAGCTTAGAGTTAGCAAGTTTGACGGGTAATGGCAAAATATTTCAAGAACTCAAATCGTTATTTATTGAATAAAACTGCCAAGTTTATCATATTCAAACAATGTAGATAAGTAAAAGAATTTACTATTTATTGAAAAGAAACTATGTATTAGATATACCTTGACCAAGAATAATGTTAGCACAAAACTGTTACCTAGCCTGACCTGAATGCCCTCATGACAGGTCAAGTCATATGTTACTAATAAATCTTTGTCAGTTTTTCCCATGCTTTTACAACTTATAACAGAAAGAAGTGACTACCACAATTGGCAAAACAAAATGTGTATATATATATATATATATATATAAATAAATGGAACTTTCTGGTAAACAAATGATAAAAGGAAAATTTTTTTAATGTCTGGCAATAAAATTTAACTAAGTTCACAGTGTAAAAAGTGATAGAAAATTTAAATTATATAACCTTTTTTAAAGCTAAAAGTAGATACTATGTTTTATGCAATTTAAGTATTTCCATTTTGAGAAGGAAAAAATCAAAGGATGTCAGTGACACTCTCTAAGGTTAACTTGAGGCACCATTTGTGATTGTTCTTTTAATATTCCAAAGTATAAACGTACACAATAAACACCAATTTTGTTTATGTTCCTTCTGATAAATTTATGCAACTTAAAATTTTATAAAGCTATATAATCAGGAGTTACAGAATATCCTCATTTATATTTTGCAGCACCATTTATTTGAAGGTTTTACCTGTTTGCTCGTTGATATTACATCAGTTTACTGTTTACCAAATTTATGCTCCAAATTATCTGTGAAGTTAGAAGTAATTAGGCAGCCCCAATTTAGCAGTAAGAACAATATGCTAATATTTATTGAAATATAAGATACTTTCAAGTTATTATTTGCATATGTTTTTGGTTATTTTTCCATTTTAATCTTCCAGTGGTGGCAGCAACTGTTACAAAGGGATTGTTTTCAACATTTTCTGAGAACTAGTTCATACATGAAATTTGAAAGCAATAAAACAAATTGTGTTAGTTTTCATTTTCATAGGAAACCCAATGCCAGATATGTGGTAGAGTAAGTAAAAAATGAAGCTGACATATGGAAATTTACATTTCTGCCATACTATGCAAGTACTTCACCCGTTTATTATTTTTCAATGAATTTTATTTGTGTAACAGGTTTAAACCTCCTAGAACTCCCTTCATCCAGGTCAGAGATTAACTCCCAGTGGCAACAACTTGACTTTGAATGACGTAGACCATGCACCTTGTAGGATATACATTTCTGAAACAAGAGCTTATGTCACTTGACTTGCCCTTTTCATCTCTTCCTCCTCACTTTTACATCTATTGCTAATTCTTAAGGATGTTGTTGTTAATGTCATTACATTGCCAAGGCTTTATATTTGCAGTTTCATGCCATATCACAGTTATTTTGTAAGCTTTACTAGGTGTTAATATTTATGGCCAATTTTGTACTTTAAACTATTATCCACAGTAGCTAATGTTAAATGCAAGTTCCTATAACATTATATATTATTATTGCTGGGGTTATGTTTGCATGCACAGTACTTATACACATATATCCAGAGGTGACTTTTTATTTTTCTGTGATATTTATTATATGTTTTGAAAGTAATTTGTAATTTTTATTTATACTATCAGTCAAAGAAAAGTGATTGTGTAAGTCAAATTAACTACATGAAATGGAATTTATCTTAATGTTACAAATTGATATACTATTTGCTAATTAAAAAAAAAAATTTAAGCACTTAATTTTAAATTTGCTTCAATAATATTTTGCCAGTAAATGTTGGGTATTTAAATTTGCCTCCACTTAGTAGTAAATTATTTGAACACTAGGCTGGCCTAATAATGAACTAAGCAATATTATGACCGTGGGGTTGGCAACCGAATGTGATTCTTTGACTGCACGCATTTGGATCCTGTATTCTTGCTGTCAAACTGATGTTGCATACCAAAAAATTTTCCTTTAAACTTTGTGAAAAAGGTTTGACTACATAACCTGCTGTGGTTGGCTTTCCTTGCATGTCAGTTATGGTAAGAATCAGTAAGCAAACCCCATGTACTGTGGCTTTTCAAACTTATAGCTAGCTGCCACACCCACACACCCCAAAAAAGGCTCTTACTCTATGAAAGGTTGCCGACCCCTATTCTAGCCAATCTCAGCTATACACTTAGTGAATTTTCTTCAATAAAGTCACATTATAAAAGGCAGTTTTGGGCCAATCTCATTAAATAATTTGAACAATAACTGTACTGCATAGATTGTGTAGCCACTGAAGTCAGCTAAGACTCGTTGCAAGAAAAACTACTATGGTTGCTGCATTTTTGAGTAATTAAATAGATTTTTTAATATCCAAGTCACTTATTCTTCCAGTCTTCTCAGACACACACTAAAGTAATAAAACTTTTACTGAGTATGTATGTGTATATATATACATAGCCACACACACACACACATCACAAGTATGAGATGTTTACATTTTAGGGAAAATAAGTGCAGTTTCATCCTTTTATTAGTATATAAATATATACTGGTTGTTGAATAGAAATTTGTTTTAAACATGGTTTTATTTATAGAAAAATAATCTATTATTAGAATTAAAAAGTGCTAAATCCAGGGACCTTAATATAAATATACCAAAGACAGCAGCTATGTTTTATGTAATACAGAAGCTGAAGTAGATTTAAAATATCAGTTAGTAAAGTTCTTTTATTAGAATTTTATGATAGTTTGTGATATTATTTTGAAGTACCGACCTAGTTAGACATTTTATTTTCTCTTTCACCATTTTAGGTGAAGTTGATTTGTACAGTTATTTTATTTAACTGTTGGTCCATGATTTTCAATGGAGTCCATTTTTTACATACACAACCCTTCCAGAGTTATTAACCATAATTAAATGGCACTTTCTTATGATTTGTCATCAAAGCTTCTATAACTTTCTCGGTGAAACATTAACATTGAGCAGAAAGTTATACAAGTAGATTTGGCTAATTTTATGCTCTAAATAAACTGAATAGAAGTGACAGATGGCAATCAGTTTATACCTTGTAATTCTTCCAGTATTTTCTACCTATGAAGGTACTACACCCTAAGCTTGTAAGAAATTTAATTTGTTTATGCAGAAACTGCAGCATGCTATTTTTTTAAAAAGATTGAAGTGGATAAGGCAATAATTTAATCAAAAGTAAACACACCTAAAATGCCTTTATGAAATTTATTAGTTGCTGAAAGAAAGAAAAATTAACCAATGAACAAAAGGTCTTGTTTATTTTAAAAATTGTTCGTCTGATGTCAAGATCTTTGTGAGAAAATAAAGAGTACATTTTGTAAGATGTTAAAATGAACAGCTGCTGCTGAAATTGCTAAAATGCTTTTCATGTGATGTCATTGTTCTTCAAGTACTGAGAACATTACAGGACAAATACTTCTTCAGAAACAATGTGAGAGAAGTTAGATTGAAGTGTGAAATATGCAAAACAAAATATGGTCTAAAGCTTTCTGCTTTACAATTTGTGAATACAGTGAATAAAATGACAAAGATTAAAGTAAACATTTAAATAGTGCTTATTTTAGTTGAGTTTTTTGTACACTGCAACAGACAATGAGTTAAAATTTGTTTATTTTTACATCTTTCTCATGTAATAAACAATTATAAGATGTTTGTAAAGCTAGTTTTCTAAAATGGAAAAAAACTCAAATATTTACTTCATTAACTTTGATCCGTTAATTTTTGTGAAAGACTTAAAGTAACAAAATAATCATAAATTTCATTTTGCATTTTAATGGAAACTATGTAATGTGGTGTAAAAAATGTTCTTTTACCATTTCTCTTAAATTTCTGCCAGAATTGTTGTAATTTCAGTTACTGTATAGTTCTACTTTACTGTTGGAATTGGTGACTAATAAACTAAGAACAACAAATACTGATGTTGGTCTATGTTCCTTTACGGCAACAAAACTTTGCTGGAGGTACAGTATGTGTATGAATATACAACTTTTATATTCTTTCAAATGTGGAAACTTGAAGCTATCGGGTACAGATTGGTTTGTTTCTCCTTAGTTTCGTACTTGTGTTTCATTGCAGGTATCTATCATTATTATCAATTCTATAACACAGCTGTTCAGTTTATTATACCAGGGCACTGTTTATATGCTATACTTAGTGTGATAAATGTATTACACCAATACTAAAGCCTTAGAAGCTCCCCGTTCTACAGTTTACCATCTTCTGATGCAAGGTGTTCAGCAAACCAGAGAACTGTATTTACAAAGGCATCAGCTTCGACTTCCACTTTCGAAAGGGGATGGTTATCTTCATACACATGACACCTAATGGCAAAAGATATACATAAAGTTCTGAGAAGATACCAACTTTAGTTGTATATGTTCAGAAGCATAATAATATCTGAATGGTCTAAATTAAGATATTTTTTTTCCTTTATTCAAATTCTACACAAACTAGATTATGGTCATTGTAGTAACTTCAAAATTGATCAATTCATGATGTTAGGAAAACCCATAGGTAAAAAATCAAACAAAAATACAAAACCCTATAACTAGCATTTTCAAAAGGTGGACCTTTCTTCATCAGGGGTAAACTGGGAATCTAATGAATATGTATTGTTGACATCAACTCTTGCTTGTATGTTGTACCTGATGGTGGCAGTGTAAACTTGTTGCATTTGAAGTTTTTAAATTGGTATAACTGTTATCCAAAATTCAAGATTTCAAAAGATTTCATTCCAATATGAGTTATCAGTTAAAGCTATATTATTAATAGAGAACAAATACAAAAAATTAATGTTGTGACTTAATGTTGTGAGTGATACAGTTCTAATCATATTGCTAGTAAAACCAAAGAAAGAAAATTACAAGTCTATTTGTCAAACAATGTATTTGAATAGAAATTCATTAAGCTGTCACCCAGAATTTTTATTAAAGTTTTTCATCTAGGCCCTTAACACAATGAACTTGCAGGAATTTTTACTGACTTATTTCAGTGTATAAGTATGCTCTCAATGGGGCTAGTTTTAATATGGAGCTTCCTAAGACAGCATAAAATGCTAACATTTATACTGAGATGTGAATAGCAAATTTCTTGAATGTTTTCCGAGCATAATATGGAACTTGTAGCCCCTAGGGGGAAAGTTACAGTTTTGATTAATTCAACCTTGTAACTTGAATACAAGCATAGTTTTATCAATTTTTAGTCAATCACTCTTTCTAAACCACTGTTGACATAGGTTAGTGTAATGTTCATGTAATGAAAGCTCTTTTTCTATTTTGTTCGAAATTGATTTTAGTTAAAAGGAAATTTTTACAGAGACTGGAACAAAGTGATAAAAGCTTAATTTGTTGGTATATTGCTAGAAGAAAAGATGTTTGTGAACAACTTCTGCCATAATTGCTTTCCTGAATTTTTTACTTCATTTGAATTATGACATTGTAGTATGATAGGAAACGACGGGTTTAGTTAACTCCTTTTATGCTCAAATATATCAAGTTTCATTTGGCCAGCAAGGCCATTATGTTAGGCCTTATTGGCATAAGTAACTGCTTAAATGCTGCGAAGACAATCACAGAAGAGAAATATAATATATATATATAAATGAACATAAAACACGTTTAAAACAGTGCAACTGAATGTGATGTTTTTTTTTTTAACCAAAACAGATAAAATTTAGTTTATGAAATAAAAACTACAGGGAAGTTTTTACAATAATGGAGGAGGATGAAAAAAGTAATTAAAATGTACAGTAAAGGTAAGCATTTTTAGTTCTTTCATAAACATTACAATGAGATTTTAGAATTTTCAAAGCAGTGAATTCATACAAATATCACACATAAAAAAAAACATTTTAGATGCATAAGCTACATTATCTGTAGAAAGTTCCTGTACAGACTAAAAATATTTCATCAAGTAATTTTTTTCACATTGCAATAAAACATACCACACAACAGGTGCATCGACACACCCTCATCTGACAAAGTTAACACCAGATCAGTAGTAAAAAGGATGATTCAAGTTTGAATAACTTTTGTTTGATTTGTATGGTGTTTTAGTTGTCTTTACTCACTAAATGAAAATATATTTATATAGGATTCGAAAAATATGTAGCATCGATGCTAATAATTTATTCTGGATTATTCACCAGAAAAGCTTTTTAAGCCATACACCATGACAACTGTTATAGTGACAAATGACTTGTATAAAAAGCATTCCACCACTAATATGTTTTTTGTATCCCAGCTAGCTTGATGAGTTCTGGTATTGAGTGGACAGTGTGGACATACTGTGGTTGAAATACTATTATATGCTCATTTTCTTGGAAAAACCCTAAGGGACCAAATAAAGAATGTAATGTTTAAAAATATAGTAAGGCAAATATCTACAGGGTTTTGAGTCAGTTTTACTTCACCATATAGTATCAAAGAATGCATTGGGGCTCTAAAGTTATAGATTCTCTTTCAATTTCACCTTTGTTGAAAAAGAAAATAAATCTTTAACACATCTATACAATCAGTAAACCAAACACTTTTTCTTAAGACAAATAATTCATTAGTCATGCTCCAATAAAAGGCATTCACACCATTGCAACTGTTAACTTTAAAGGCTTAATTATCTAAACCACTGAGCTGATCACAAAGATCCAAAAATATCTGTTTTATGTGATACTCCTAAGGCAATCCTTTATATAAAGTAAAGCTGGATCCAATAAAACAGTACTTCATAAAACAAATAGTTTGAATTTTCTAAAAATTTGAAGCCCAATCTATCATTTGATTCCACACTAGTCACCAAGTTATACTGGTGTAAGAAAATTTCAGTCATTACCATCTTTATTTTTAGTATTTCAAACAACTTGTCTGCTGAATAGTTCAAAATAAGTTAGGACCATCAAACTAAATATTCTACAAATCCTATATAAATATAAGCTGACTATGGGAGTAAAATGCCATACATATAAAACACAGTTCACTAATATAAAAAACCAAGTCTTATTTATTATTATTTACTTGTACTAGTCTGGTTATTGATGAGGGGTGGAATTCTCAAGAACTAGTATAATTTGGTGCCAAGTAGTAAATTTAATAACAGATTGGGCTTCACATTTATGTTTAATTTTTTGATAATGGTTTCACAGTAATGCGTGTTTGCTATACATAGATAATGAAATATAGATTGATTTGCTTCAATGATTGACCATATAGTCATGTGATACTGTTGTTTTAATAACTTTCAACTGTATTATGTTCAGCCAGTCCTTTTATGCATAGAGTGACACATATTTCACTTTGTATCACTTGAACACTTTTTCCTGGCAGTGAAATGTTCAATACGTGCAGGCCTCCTAGCAAACCTGTAAAACATGCTTTTTCAGTAGCCTAACCTTTAAAACCTGCATATTTTCTCATAGAACCTATAACAGCCCCTAACAGTTTTTTAATTACTTCATCCTTTAAAAAAATGTATATTTACAGAAACAGAATTTTGTTCATAATTTAAAAATCAGTTCTTAGTTATAGCTGCATAAATGTGCCCTGAAGTAGTGGCTGTGGCGAGCAACACATGATTATTCTCAGTTACAAGGTAAGAAAAATTATTCTTAATTGTTAGGTAGAAGGTGGGAAACAATTATGTTTGAAATATATATACCCATATTTGTTTCTATAGGACTTAATCAATAACAACATAACACCTTAGCAATAGAGATTGTGCAGAAAATACCCTGTTATTTGTCATACAAATACAACAGAGCCACCCAGAAGTCATACCTATCTAAAAGTTTATAATTACTGGTGAACAAGTAAGTTTCATATCCACATTTATATCCTACCCGTTTTTATTTATTTATCAAGCACAATCACTTCACTTTTTTACTATATTTTATCCTTGTTTACTATTAGGCTTACTCACTTCACAGGTCTTCCTCTTGCTTTCAGCAATTTAAACATGTACAGTCCTTGATTGGAAGGTACTCTGAGATCATTTTTACCAATAAGGAACAAGACTGGGATTTTTATCTGAAAATTAGTTTAAAACATATAAATAATCATACTTTCCTCTTAAATTTTACTTAACTATTTTTTTAATTATAATGGTTCATGATAGCCCTACCTAACAGTTGTTGAATTAACTTCTTCTAGTAAATACCCTGGACTCATTGTAAGAGTTCAAAGTCATGCAACTTTCCTTGAAATGTTTCTTTTTACTTTTTAATATGAAACAGACTATATGCTGTTTCTCAATCACTGTTACCTTTAGAAGACAGATATGGAAAAATAGCAAGAGCAAATTAAGTGTAAATGTTTTTGTTTAATATTTACTAAAGCTGTATCAAATTCTTTTCTACAATCCAATAAAATGTATTAAGCCTGGAATATCTTTCTAAGCTATTAATCCAAGCTTTATCTCAAGTTTTTTTAATGAAAAAATATATATACTTCTTTCATTGAATCCAGTTGGTATTTAATTTTTCTGTCCTATTTCTGTTTTATATATCACATTTAAAAGTGTGATTTCAAACATCCAGAAATTTTCTTATTTCAATGGACATACTGAACCTTTACATAATATTTAATAAAATCAGTGTCTAAAAAATAATTGAGTATTAATGATAACTTTCCCCCTTTCATATAAAAGTGTTGACTAGTGACCTTTCAAATTTGGTTTTTCAAAAACTGCCATGACCAATTTAATAAATAAAACAAATCGATTAAATTTTAAGTTCCTTCAACATTTATCATAAACTTAAATCTTAAGACTGTGGGATTAAAGTACTACATATCTTACTCATCTATACTATGTGTTTTATATCAACAAAATTTTCGAATTTTTCTAAGTTCTAATTAACCCTATCGCCACAGGTATCCTTTACTGTGCATGACACAAGGTTTTAGTGTTTTCCATTCAAACTTTTATTGAACTACTTTTTGTTTATGTTATACCATTTAGAATAGCATAAAATCTTAGCTAATAATCTATATTTTAATAGTTTATAAGTTTTAAGTTCTTAATTCTACAAGACAATATTTAAAAAAATCCTGAATTTCCCATAGTGTGACACACGTGACACATTTTCTCTAGGCATTTTGTCTCCTCTATTTTATCCACCACCCCTTGGAAATGTAAG